GAGGGGTGGGGAGCTACCGCAGAGGAGCTCCACATCAAGCTTGAGCTGGAGTGCAGGGGGCGGGGGGTGGGGGGATGGGTGGGTGTGGGAGGAGGTGGTTGCGTGGACGAAGTGATGCAGCGGTGTGCGACTGGTCATCGACCTTGGCTGCACGACGGCGCTATCGGGCGCGACCATCTATTACCTGATGCCATCGACCGCCTGGGTGCTCATGGCCCCGCGGCCAACGTGGTAGCGCTAGTCGTCCACCGCCACCTATTCAGCACACCATGATCACCTATCCAGACAGCACGGACGCTGGTAGGAGTTCAGGTCATGCCTATTTAGATGTAGATGATGTGTTTATTTTTGTAATTTTCAGATTGTTGGCAAAGTTTGTACTTTGTACTATGTCCATGTTATTCAGATGGAAAATTCATTTATGCTCACATTTTCAAATGCAAACCCATTTTTTTGTGGCTTCCAAACATTGCAAGTTGTATAATCACAAAATGACAAATTCCAAAACAATTGTATGCATTTCAAATTCTGACATGTCAAATGTATATACTAGTCATCTAGGAAATTTACATCTCTTTCTAACCCATGCCATTTTTTTGGAACAATTTAAATTTAATTTTTAACCATGGCAATTTTATTTTATGAGCAACATAGTTTTTTTGTTTGACCATGTCAATTTTTATCCATTCATTTTTTCGAACATGGTAACTTTTGTTGGAACAAAACATGTGAAATTTCTTTTTGTATACATTCGTTTAACTAACAATGTCCAAATCCTTTTTTAAACCATAGAAAACATATCTTTTGGAAATCCCATGGAAAGCTTGTTTTCATAAGACTATTTTCTTAATATTCTTTTTGCCATCATCTTTTTATGAAGCAATGGCGATTTCACGTATGAACTTAATTCTTAAGCGTTTTCTTGTTTTTCTTGATACGGCAGATTTTTTTAATGCATGGGATTTTTTTTTGTAAATTTTGATGTGTGGCATTTTTTAGGTATGGCATCTATGTGTTCAAATACAGATCCAACCAGCTTGCTGTTTTTTTTCATTTTTTCTTACTGTTTTTTGGGTTTTTCTTATTTATTTAGTTATCACAATCAATGATGCTTTTGGGAAGGAGGCCTGTCGAGAAATGTCTGTTGGGCCGTATTCGTTCGCGCTTGCAAGTTCCTCCTAGCGAATGTTTCTGTTCACTAGAGGATCCATCCCAGATCGAACGATTCGTTAGTTGGGGGTTGCTCCCAGATCAAATGTCGGTTTAGTATAAGGGTCCTAAATTGAATTAGATATCAACTAAAATAATGCTCCCGATTTGATTTAGAAAGCTTCCAATATACCATTGTATTATAAGTATTGTAGTGTGAAGTGTATTATATTAACTGGTATCTTGCCTTCCTACAGTATGCTCTAATTGAGTACTACACAGATTCTGTACTCTTCGGTGGCATGTCAACGTTCGATGTTTATGGTATGAAAAATGTCAATCACCAAATAAGCTCATCACACATGTGTGTGATCAATCAAGGGAAGGACTTCAGTAGTCATAATGCTGCAATAGCTGGATGGACGGTAAGTTAGTTCCTCGATGATTACTCCAGCATAACCTATTTGGAATGCATGGATTTTCTTTTCCGTGACGATTGCACTTTTTTGAAATCAATGCATTCTATTTATGCGAAAACTTTATAGCTACTTCCTTTGTATCAAAATATAATATGATTTTGCAGTTCAATATTTTGATAGAGGGAGTACCTTTTGAGAAACTGTTAATTTACTTTTATGCAGGTTAGCCCATCCGAATATGGTGATAGCAAAACACACTTCTTTACACGATGGACGGTACATGGTTTAACTTTTTGTATTTCTTAGTTTTTTCTTGTGTTCAATATTTTGAAAAATTGGGGTTAACATTTTCTTAGCAATACACATACAATTCATGATCTTTTGTTGCATGACAGGTTGATGGGTATAAGTCAACTGGATGCTATGACTTGAAATGCGATGGTTTTGTGCCAGTACAAAATGCGCCTATCACTCCAGGAGACACTCTAGACCACAAAAACGGAAAACTTAAGATCACAATCAAGATATTCAAGGTAAGCAGTTAAAACCCAATGAAAGCACTAAATATAATTTACCACAAGAATTTTTATCTAAGGAGGTATCTGTGGTCCAAAAAAATTATGCATAGATGATGACATCACTAATTGACCCTCTGATTCTAGAGTCATTTGTATTGCTAGTTACTGGAATAAGTTTTAGTTACCGTTGTCTATCTTGCAGAAGAAAGATGATGGTGACTGGTGGTTGTACTTTGGTTATGATAATCAAAGCCTTAGAGCTGTTGGATTCTGGCCCAAAAGTATCTTTAATAATATGGCAGACCATGCAAATATTGTAGAGTGGGGTGGTTACACATTCTCTAATTCCGGGAGTGCTAGTCCTGCAATGGGCAGCGGCCACTGGCCTGGGATACATTCTGCAACTGTTCAAGATGTTAGATTTGTTGATGACACTGGTAGAGGCTACAAAATTGATCCATGGCCCGGGGGCCTTGTTGCTTCTATCTCCCACAAAAAATGCTATGGAGCCGTTCTATCTGTAGACGAAATGTTTTACTATGGCGGACCTGGTGGTTGTACTATGTAGTAAAGCTTTATAGTCCGAGATGAGATCCAAATAATATAATAAAGATGTAATGTGTTTACAAGTTATTTCGACAAGGAAATTGTTATGGCTCTCCTTGTATGCCATATACGTAAATAAAGTGAAGAAGCAATAGAATCATCCACCTAAGGCAACTAGTTTAATGCTCGTGCGCTGCCATGGTGATTTTTTTACAGCAATCAAAATATATGCCCCCCCCCCCTCAATAATCGTCGTTTCTCTTTCACCATTCTCTCCCCCATTTTGTTTCCCCTCGACAATATCCATTTCTTCATAGCCGTACCTCCCTTGCCAGAATTGATGGCATGTGGTTTCCATCCTTATAAACTAATTCTCTCTCCAATTTCTTCCTCATCGACAATCATTATTTCTTCTTGACCATCCACATTCATTATCTAATCTTCTCACTGCCCCTCCTTCCACTTCACCTTCACTCTCGATCTTGTACTTTTACAAATTATATAATATTTATCAATTCAAAAAAATATTTTGATCATATTTCTTATTTACAAATGATGAAAGATGCATGCACTACAATATTTGTGTCACCTTATTTTTCGACCCCAACAAAGATAACATTTCAAACTAATACAAAGAGACTTGATCAAATAACAAATTCACCTATAACACATGGTTGGTGCAAACCCACCATGTACTATCATTGGACCTTCACACGCTACCTATCCCACTCCCCACGTCCTCTAAAGGAAGTCCACCCCTGATCATGAAAACAAACTACTGCAAACCTAATCTAAATAATAAGTGTTGAAAATCAAGTGAGCATTAAATCCATAATTTGATTGTACATTTTACATGATAAATAAATTCCATGTGAGCCAAGTAATAATGCGACTCTAGTAAAAAAACAAGCATAATGGAAGGGGGAAACTGCATCTAGCTCGTACTATGTGTCATGTGACGCAACACCTTCAACCCACTCATCGATAGTGCATGTGAGCCATCTCTTCCTCTCACCATCGAAGGTGTCTTGTTCAAATTCCAATGCCCATGGTTATAATCCTTCGAGACCATGAAGCCATATTTTGAGCTCATAGCTGGGGAATATGCCCCACTAAAAAATAGTGGAGAATATATTGGTTTGGTCACCTTGGGCTCGTCGTGACCTCCTTACCGCAAAGCAAACTCATGTAGTGCACGGTTGAAAGAAAAGACATTCATAGGATGCCATATCTTGGAGAAGCTTCACAATATCAAATTCATAATTCAATCACTTTTTCCATTTTTATGTCTCGTAGCATAGAGAGCAAAACAAGATAAGAGTATCACTGTAGAATATAGCTTAACAACAAATACATGAACTGCACTTCTTTGCTATAAAAACACCCCCTGGGTAAAAAGAACTGTCATCATAGCTTGATCATCTGCCTAGAGCAAGAACGTAATTAGAAATCTTGAGTAATTCCTAAATGTAGATTGAAGAAAATACTAACATGTAGACTTTGGACATAGGAGAATAGTACTTGCATAGTACTTACAACACGTAGGTTGAATTCTACTAAACATCCATTGAGTAACTGAGTGGTGTGAATCCGTGTCTCATACAACCCTTGAGAAAGATGACATAATGCAATGTATCTCAAGTTAAAACTCCCAAGTCATGTGATATATCAAGATGAAAAATGGTATGGAGCCTTACTAGTGCCAACCTAAAATGCATAGAAGTCTCAAGTCAATCTATTGATGCTGAGCTAGAACATTTCATATATAGGATAAAAGATCAAGTGCCAATGTTTCCCTTCGCATGTTACAAAATGTGAAGTCATTATTGTTAGCCTTATACTAAGGTACTAAAACCTAGGAAAATAGGTAGCCATCAAAGAAAAGGGGGATACCTCGCCTGACAGGCACACAAATACCATCTCATTATAGATCTTCCATAAATACAACATTGGTAGTTAAATATTTGTGGGCCACCAGTTGTTAATGTGGCTGAGAATCACCATAACCTAGTCAAACACAAAAGTAGTGATGCTATTACATTTCAATGACATAAAATGTTAGTTTTTTGACTTATGAAAGAATCTTGTACCAAAAAACATAATTAGTAGTAACCATCATAACAAAAAGGAGCTATGTGTATTGTTGAGTAACCGTGCAACACTTGAATAGGTGCAAAGTACTGCTCCCTCTGTTCCTAAATATAAGTTTTTTAGAGATTTCAGTAGGGCCTACATACGGAGCAAAATGAGTGAATCTACACTCTAAAATATGTCTATATACATCTCCGTATCTAGTTCATGTTAAAATCTCTAAAAAGACTTGTATTTGGGAACGGCGGGAGTATTACATAACACATGCTTAATTTCGATGTCCCACAACTTTAAAAGGAAAAGGCAGCTGCATGCAGTGTATTATAAATTTCTAATCCTGTAGCAAGTTCAGACTAATAGGTAACTTTTGTGTAGTCCAAATTGCTACTGGAATAAAATTGCTAAAGGAAAATTAAGAAGAATTCCATCTGTTCCGAGTAAATGGGGCTCAAAATCGATGATCGTTGGGGTGAATCGCAACATGAAAGTACAATCCATACATAGAAAATATGTAACATCCCATCAAAGTACCAACTAAACCATGTACGTATTAGAGAAATCAATTAATTCAAATTACAACAAAAGTAATTTGAAAATTATGAACATATCCAAGAGAAATGGCCTTGCAAAAGGTGGATAAAGCTTTCAGGATATGCAAGTCACCTACCAATGGAACTCAATCCAATAAATATGGATAAATATGAATACGAATTTCTCACCAGGAATAAGAGTATAACTAACTAACAAGATTTAGATAGATGATGGATGAATTAGAACTTATCTGCGAGCTCCACATTTAAACTTGCTCAAGTAGAAATTAATTATCAATTAGAATTGAAAGAAATTGTAATACTTCACTTTTTCTATCACTACCACCCCTTATCTCTTATTAAGTTTTGCAAATAATCCACTGAATATAACTTGCTTTTAGATAAAAGCATCAATGCAAGCCTTATTGAAAAGTTCCAGCACACAATACAAAATATGAAGGCGTTCGTCCATGATCTTCATGAAGTCTCAGGACCATCGCTTAATCCCATATATGTACAATTGATTAGATGGAAGTGCAAAGACTTTGCACTACTGCAGGATGCTGCTAACGCGACACTACGATCAAAGACCCTTTCACGAAACTGTGTGCAATGCATTAATCGCAAACGGGGATGTAAAAAACCATCAAAAAAGGTGCAAAACATTTGCTATGGCGGAGCCATCAAACACGGTTCAAATTTAGTTGCGTGTGTGATGTAGGGCACATAGTTAATCCATTCGAACTGTTTACGATGAGGCAAAACAACAGAATGGGCACACATATCAATGTGTGTGCGATATATGGTATACAGTTCGCGTCGATGAACTGTTTGCTATTAGGGAGTGCAACAGAAACGGTTAGCCAGATCAAGGTGTGTGTGATATACGGCATACGATTCACTTGGACGAACTGTTTTCAATTAGGGAACACAACAGAAATGGTTCAACTTAATAAGATGTGTGTGATACGTGGCAAACAGCCGACTCGGATGATCGGAGCGCGCCGCGACTGCCTCAATGGCGAGCGAAACACTTGGACGGACGTGAGCAGAGCGCGCCGCACCCGCCTCAACGGCGAGCAACCACGTGGTCAACCTTCTGCCATCAATAATTTTTGACCTTTTTTCTCGTCACATTGCATATTACAATGCAATAATTGCAAATCTGTTCACACCTATCAAACTAATATGTGTTCACACTTAGCACCGGGCTATAAAAACTACCCACTCGAAAATTACTTCATAGTTCCTCTCGCCATCACCCACAAAATTGGTATTTCCTGTCAAGTCATTCCGCCATGGCCCGTAGGACGAGCTTAGGGTGGACATATAACCAGGCAGCAAAGAACAAGGCCACGGAAGCACTAGAGAGGTCCCGCCGCGAAGCCGCAGCCGCAGCAGAGATGTCCCGGCGCGCTGCGGAGCCCTCGAACGAGCTCTCACGGGCATAAGAGGGCTCTCACAAGCGCACTCGCGGCATCGGCCATCGCGATGAGCTGGCATTTGTGAAGTCCTTGGCCGGCAACAATGACATTCTTGCTAGCGTCACTAAGCAGCAGGAGCTGGTCGACGGCTTGATGAAGCTGCTCAAGATTAGCGAACCTCGGTTGACAAGGCGACCGGCCTCGTCGAGCAACTCATGGATGACAATGCGAAACTCATCAAGGCGCTCACCGAGAAGGAGGAGGAGGCAGCTGGCTGGAAGATGCTGCATGAGCAGAGCAGTGCCTCAGGGATGACGCTGATAGCGGTCGTCGAGGAACTGATGGGTGACTTGAGGAAGCTCCGGATCAAGCGCGAGCAGGGGGTGGAGGAATTCGTGGCTTCTTTCAAGAAAAGTCATGAAGAATTGAAGAAGGAGCCGGAGGATGTCGTCGCCCGGCGATCCATCAATGAGTAGAGACAGTAGCGACCTAGATCGTTGTCTGCAATTTCCTTCTTCTCTTGCCCCCGCGTCTTTCGGTCTTTGCCGCATGTGGCATTTTAAATTATCCGGAATATGTAAGACAATTGTTATCCGCGCCATTGTAAATTTCTCATCATATTATCCGTTGCCATTTTATTTGTGGTCATATTATCCGTTGCCCTATGTATCAATTTAAATTAGGCCAGAATACGAGTTGAAAACAGGAACAAAGCAAATACTGCCATGGGATCACAAGCAAACACCCTCCGTCTAAGTGCTTTAATTAACCCATTAATGGAGAAGTTGTGAGCTAGGCGGGCGGCGGCTGGTGCATGGAGGTCAAAGAGCTCGCTTCCCGGTGAGCATGGGCAGCCTTGTTGCTCGCACATGTCCCGTCGAGCCTGTGAGGTGGGCAGGATGTGCGCGTCCCGTCGAGCCTGCACGGCGGACTGCTCGCACGCGTCCCGTCGAGCCTGCACAGAGGACTTCTCGCGC